AGGTATGTGTTAGAGGTGGTCACAGATTCTCCCATCAGCGGCAGATGCCCCTCTTCCGTCAAGTTCAGGTTTAGCATTCAGTAAAAGGAATAAGGATAGTTGTCCTTTAGGGTAGGGTTCGCTCTCGGCTGCCACCAATTTAGCTCCCCGAGTCTTTTCTGAAGAGGAAGTAAAACACAGTACTTGGACAGAATTCGTAATGCCGGCGAACAGAAGGGGGGGGGTACAAAGGCGGAGCCCTCAGTCACCCTTTGCCAAAAGCGAGAGTTAATCAACCGAAGTACCACAAGTACACCTTTGAATAGTCTAAATTTATGTCATTGTAACATTTATCGTACTTAACTAGACCCTTAGGGCCGGGAGCAAGCTCTTTTTCCTAAAATTAAGTTATTAGCAACTACGCAGAAACGAAGCCAGGACGATAACTCTTTCTCTCGCATCGCCTTTCCCTCGCGATATTTTGTAGTTTTTGGTGTGCAAACAACGGTCTAAACGCCATCCAAATCCGGCCAACTTCTCACGTAAACGACATTAAGGTAAATATTTACCCATTGTGGCGGATGACAGCCTCCGAGGTATAGAAAAAAATGATTTTCATAGGTATAAATTGAACAGTAATCTTGGAGGCCCTATTTCACCGACATAACAACCCTCTACCCCTTCTGAAGACAGGAATATCTTTTTGTCCAAGTTTTTATCCAGGCCCTAAGCATGCCAAACATCTGCTACAGCCAAGCCAAACGTTCCAATCTAAAAATTAAGAAAAATATGGCCCAAGTGCTTCAAATCGTTCCGTGAACGTAATTGAAATCGCTTCAAGTTAATGCCTCTGGAAAGCGCTGATGGCTTTTGCCCACGAGGCTAAAAGCAAACAACCGTGCGAAAATATGCTCACCCTCTGGTAAAGTGAGAGTCCCCACCCGTCAGCCAGGCCGAACTCAGTTACCGGAAGGGGTATGCCATTAACACTTGCCTGTCAATCACCGATCCTGTCTGTCACTGGCGCTTATCAGCCGAGAATCAGCGTTGCATTTAGCCTGTCCACAATTTTTTCCCTTCCTAAAAGCAGTGCTAACGAGGGATGAACAACTTTCTCCACCAAATAATCATCACAACAACGGATTTAATGGGATTATTTTATGCTGACCTAAAACTTATTTGTCTTTCTCTCTCTCTCTCTGAACTTTCCTTCATCTTGTGTGTGCACATGCTTGCCCGCAAAGTGACTTTTACATCAGAAATTTAATACCTGCAAAAAGTTTCTTAAAATATTTTCCTATCGAAATAATCCCTCACTACAATTAATCATCTTCGCCGGGAGGCAGGCTTGCGAAAAACCGCATTCGCACAACATTTCTAACCCTGAGAGCTGTGAAAAAAGTCTAGCCTCAGACACCGTCTCTGTCTCAGTTACATTTCCCACTCATCTGTGTATTCCGTCTAGCATATCGCCTAATCCTGATGCCTGGAGGCGCAGCACGAAGGATGCTGATGAGAATGAGGCAGTATTCCCCTCCCTTCACAAGGCTTTCCCTTCCCAGTTGATATGAGTGCCAACTAATCGTTTAATCGTCCCCAGCACTTTAGAACAACTGAAAGTTGTTTTTGCTCTTGTCCCAAACTAAAGACGAAAATGAAGGTCCTCCTCAGTGTAACTTGAATTAATCTCGTTGTTCAAACTACTTCTGGGAGGTATGTTCTGTCCTCTCAAATAGTATACATAAAAGTTAATTAAAAGCCCCTGTAGCTTTAAAAGCTGAGTTAATCACGGCTTCTAACCCACATTTTACTGACACAATGAAGAGCAGCTTACCAACAGACTGACGCACGCCTGTCTGTGCTTCATGGTGCGTGTAAACAACTGCGAGATTTATGCAAGCACCTCAAGGCACAGGAAGTCATCGCAGTGAGGCATACCGAAAAACAGCACGGGGTTTTTTTGTTGCCCGACAGTTATTCGGGCTGTTGTGGTTACCGATCCAGGGGTGCGGGTGAAATGAAGCATCACGGCAACGCCATTGCGTATCATCCCCATGGCGCAGACACATTACCATGCACGGCGTGATTTCCAAGGTCCCAGCAAAACTCAAACAACAAGTATCCAAGCTCAACAAAACAAAAGAAAGTGTACCTAGTTTTAACTTCGTAATAACCAAGGGTGAATCTTAGTACTTTTCAAGTTGCAATATCTGTTTACATTGTAGTAATTTGGTTGCTTCTTTTACCCTTCATTTTGGTTTCGTGAGCACTTAGGGCCCCGCCACTCGTACTTCCACTAGGCAGCATGACCTCCGGGCCCTGACATTAGCCCCAAGCCCTTTTGTACGTCGACCACACAAAGTCTGCCTTAGCATTATGTCCTCTTTCGACTTCAGGAAGGCCTTAAGACGCTACATTGGTGGCAGCAGGAAGCGAACCCCAACCCAAGCTACAAATACCTCGGTTCCATGTCTGATTACCAAACATTAACGTGACGGAAGGAATACATATGCTGCGAATGAGACAACCCGTGATGACCCCCAACAGAAGGTCTGGAACTGGCGTCTACCTTCGGCAGCTACTCTAGTCTCATGTTCTGTAGGAATGCTATTAACCATCTGGAAAGTTCGTTACGGAGCTTTCTGCGGCATCTATATGAAGTGAACACTCGACACCTCCACCTCCCTACCAGCCGGCTAGAACGCACACAGATTCGGCTGGACAGCACTGAAGCGAAAACAGCACGCAAAAGAGGAGCAGACGCAAAATCGTAGCCCCACAAAACTATTTAAAACCCCCTCCCTTATTGAATGGCTCAGCTTTGAGGTCATTGTTCCTACAACTAACGATGGACATACGAGGTGGCCAACACATTCTCCCTTTCCCAATACAGTTGCCAAGCAGGACCCAACTCTAGATCCGGTAAAATCGCCAAAGTGGGATCGGTGACATTGAGGTTAAGTGTCTTTCTAATTGCATGGAAATTCGATGACTGGTGCAGATGGTCGGTTCGTGGTTGTTGTTCTTACAGCATCCACCACGTTGTGGTGGTTGTTGCGAGAGGTTGACCAAGGAAGGTGAAGAGGACAACGCTCAAAAGGTTTTTTGTCCAACTCTTTGTTTTCGTTACACAGGCACTTAAGACTCCGCCTTTGTAGTTTCACCGGGCGCCATAGCCTTTGGACCATGTGTCAGTCGCCCCCAGCCCTTCTATATATCGATGATAAATATTCTGTCCTAGTGCTATGTCTCATTTCGTTTTCAGAGAAGGCTCGGGGCGATACAATACTTCCCCGCGGGCACAACAAACACGATGCCCCGTGGAGTTACGTTCACCTACAAGGCAGTTTATTTTTATTATGACTGTGATAAGTACAGACTTCCCTTTGCCTTCAACACTAGTATTTCCATGTCCGAAAGATGTATGACGCGTGCACTCCAACTCAGGCGGTAATCGTTTACACTTCACCGAAAGAATTTTGAACTTGAAATGCGCTCAGCTCAGTAAAACAATAACAATCGTTATTTCAATTTGTCTAATCCACTTACAACCGATTTTTAGGTGTAATTTACAATCACTAATCTTGATTATTTTCGTCGGTGCATCAAACCACCTCCTAAGAAAGCATTCACCAACTTTCCAGAATTTTTGAACCAAACTCGACAATAGCCAGTATCTTTCCCTATCATACCTTAAAACTCCCAATTCGTAAAAACTGACACCTCAGATGTTATATTTGAAGCCAATGTTGACTGAGGGAGCATGGAGAAGAATGGACCATAATCGTTCAAAGGGGCAATCTGCCATCACGGTCCAGGCGTCTTATCGTTCCACTGTCACACCAACACTTGCACTAAATCACCCACCGCTTAAAAAGCCAAAGAAAATGCGATTACTGGCAAAATAAGAACAGCAGCCTACATTTATTGTACGGATTTTGCTTTCAAACGGTCTGTTTTTCAACTGGCTATCGCCAACTGATAAAGGATGCACGTCACACACTCGTGACCGCTCAGCCAAGAAGGCGAGAGCGTCACGTACATCCCGGGCGGTAGCTAAAGTCCCATTCCCTATCAGGATAAGATAAAAAAACTCCGTGTTGGAAAGATCTTCGTTTCTCAAAGCACAAATCGGGCAACGGATAGGACACCACCCAAAATCCATTCTATATTTAACATCAACAACACAACTCCCACACAGAGGGAAGCAAAGTAGACATGCACACACGAAAGCATGAGGTACTAACATGATTATCACAATAGCATTCACCTTACTAGTGCTTTTAATTACCTGTACTGCTTGGTCGCTCACGTCTGCGAACCCCGGACAGGGTAGAGATGACATTTTCATAGAACTTAATGCTGAAGTACACTCCACCTACTGAAACTGGAGTTTCCTCAGTCATAAGAATGACTTCTTTGAAATAACTCACATTGATGAAGATTTGTGCATTCTACTTCCTTCGTGGACAAATCTCTTGTGCCACCAAAACAAACACAGCCGTGACCCTAGTTGATCCGGTTAGCAATGATCACAACGCAATTACTCCTCGACACTGTCAGAATATCTACCGATTGTTCAAAATATTGACAGACAGAATAATGGATGGTTGTCTTTTTGATTGACAACACCACAGCAACGTTGAGCTTGGTGTACAGAAATGGCGGAGAGCAAAAGCAAGGCAAATCCGCCTCCGCTACAGGATAGAGTGCTAGATGGAAGGTTACTACATTGCTGCTTCTTCTTTCTTGCTGTCCCAAGAAAACATCACACATGACTAAGGTAGGCTGGGGTAATATTTAAATAGAATGCAACAACGAGACGTATTTATTTCATCGAAATCTGAGTCAACATTTGGCTAAAATTCCAATTTTCAATACTTTCTATTCAGTGGATAACACCGACATAACCAACAACATTGGGTTCTGTACATGGAGTGAGAGAAGAGCATGAGGAAGTTCGGCGTGGACACCACGCAGGAGTAGTTGAGATGAGGTGATTTAAGGGACGGATAACCACATCACCTCGTAACTCGACTGCGTTTGGCAGTTGGAATGGTCATCTCATCGCTAGTCTGTTTGACAAGGAACTCGGAGCGCGAGGCGCTGCCCATGCCGGTGAGATGAGCGCAGAGAAACTCCACCCGCAGCCATTCGTAGCCCTCTATGATTGGGAGCTCGGGCTGAGGACCGCTCGAACGACTGCTGCCAGAGCGACGCTTCGTAAAGGCGTGGGTCACCTGCTCTGCCGGTGGGTAGGGGGCGCCGTTTGCCAGGACCTGCACAACCAAATTGAGGAACGGTCACTGTTTAAGAGTCGCAGACTGCTGATTACAAAGTAATAAGTAGGCTGACCATCGTGGGAGGCAAGCCATGCTAGGAAGAGCACATAGTGCTTTACTTTTTGCACTTCAGAATGCGAAACAACTGTCCATACTATCCGGATTTCGATGCAATACAATCAGCTGTTGAAATTCTCTGATGTTTGGCACATCCTCAGTAGGATAGCATTGGCCTCCCACTATTGTGAAAACAAACGTACCACGTCAAGTGAACGTTTGCATGGTAATTATAATCTCTGATTGCCTTGTTGTGAAAATCTTGTGAGTCATTGAAAATGAACACTGTAGGCACAGATGACTCAAAGCACCAACAGACTGGGTGGTTCAGTAATAGAGAGGGGAAATACACCTGTAGCACCAACATTAGCATACTACTAATTAGGAATAAAAAAAAGAAATTTTACTTATCATGCCTAAGGAAATAAAAAGAAGCCTTTCATGTACTGTTCTAGCCGCGGTCAGGCGAACGCAGTAATTAAAACGTTAACTATGAAACATCTGACTTATTTAAGCAGAACAGAGTTAAGAACATCCACCTTATTCAACACATTTCATTTTGGTCATCATCTTTCCGATTATCTTGTAAAGCGATTCGTGCAATCTGGATGGAATACATATCTGATCTTGGAACTCCAAGACAGACGTCTAGAAAAAGTAACGCGCTACCTAAAAAGTGAACAGTTGAGGTGATTCTATGGGGGAGGGCATGCCCATGTTCGGAAGATCTTGCCTGTCTACCTACTGAAATGAAGGATTACCATGCACACTGGTGGAATTGCAGTTCTGTGAGCTGCCAATTCAAGGGTTCATAATGTGCAAAAGTAGAATAAGTTTTCGGTTACTAAGGCAACACAATGCAATCACCTCCAGCGAGAGTACTGTGCAATTATTACAACCTTCCTAATTACTTTACTAGAACAATCTTGCAACTGGGTGAAAATTCCAAATGTTAATCGAATGCAAGGACTCTGGATAACGACTCGAAACGTCAGCGAACGAGACCCTCGATCGGTATACATGTTGTACAAATAGGCAGTAAGTAATATGGAATTATGAATAATATGACAAAAAGCAAGTGGATAGGGTAAAGATGGTTTCATGCACAGGTTTTGCAGGTTACAATGCTACTTACAAGTCGCTGAGTCGATTTATTCTACGCTGTTTTATGACGCGGACAGTAAGTTTTGGAAAAGCCCTGAATAATTCGCGTTCAGCCAGTCAGCATCCGCCTACGCAGGTGTCATAATGAGCAAAAAGGAACGCACAGACGGAAAAAAACACTTGACACAGAGACTTCCTCTGTATGTGAAGAGCAAAAAGACAACATGAATGTATAATAACATTTTTACAAGGTTCAAGTAGTTCCTTATCTAAAGGAAGGCAAAGGGAAACACTGCTTGTATTTTAGAGACATAGCCATTGCCCTTCATGATGTGCAGCCCTGCTTTCTGCACAAGAATGACGAGTCCAGGCTTTGCATTTCGGCTAGAGGCGAATTAACAATTTCTAGGTTTATTCCTTAGCAGCTCGTGCGGCTTTCGAATTCAAATGGTGGCAGCACAAAAGCAAACAAAACGCGGACGTAAAATGTAACTTTACTGTTTACATTCATCACTTTCGCACATAAACCTAAAGGCGATTTATTTATTGCAGCAAATAACCTTGCAGCCAACTTTTTGGCAGCCTCTACGCTAGCCACTTGAATTGCAATGTGCTGATACAGCAAGAGAATCAGCTGGATGTTGCGTGAAAAAACTGCCAAAAAGGACGTTTGTTGTTGAGGCACGAACTCGTGGATAACACGTCTTGGTCACTGGCGTAAAGTCTTAGCTAAGCAGAACAGGCCAGCCAGTCAAAGTACTGATCGGAACCGTATCCGTTTTGAAAAATGCATTTACTTTGGCTTCATTTTCTTACGAAGGCAGTCGAAGCGGGAACCTTAGACAATAAAAACACCACTGACCCGAATTGGTTGCCAGTTCACGAGTGAACCACCAATATACTCGGCCTAACAGGGCACACGACGTGAGGAAACCAATTGGGATTCACTAGGTGTACAGCTAGCGCCGACATTTACAAACGGCCCCATTACATCAATCGCCCTGTCTCATGAGTAGCCGAGAGAGCCGCAACAACTAGGAGAGCTGAGATAGGGGAAAAAAGACAGGTTCTACACAGCAAAACGACGTTTGTCCAAATACACGCGGGCCTACAGCCAGTGCACACATTCCTGATCGCAGCATCAGCTATACTATTAGCTCACGAGCGGTCAGCGTCATACAGCAATGCTCTTCCTCGGGTATAGCTCCAACGCCACCAATCATAGCAAAAAGGGAGAAGGCCCCATCGTCTGCCAAGAATAACCACCCCCACGTTGTTAAATCGACACAGATATTCAAAGAATATGGAAGGATTGAAACACTCCATTAAAAATTCGATTTTCTTAACGACCATAAGTAAATCTGCATCTAACAACGATTGACACACACATAAAAACCAGTTTGAATCAGTAACCATTACTGACAGACTTATGCTGGCCACCACCACCAACGGACTAAAATCTCTAATGGTAATAATCACGGACTGCTTCGTTTAACCACAAAAATTGTGAACTCGTTCAGTGAGACACGAAATCCTCCTCCTTCTGATCCCCGATCAGACGGGAAGATTAACTGCCGTGAGAGAGACAACCATTTTCGTAAGGACCAATTCATCAGATCATTACGATTTCCATTTGGACCAAAATGATAAATTAAACACGAAATCCTCCCTATTGGGAGTAACCGGTTAAGGGAGCTTGAAGGGGAAAGTAATCACCATTCAATCAGGTACATCAGGCGTGAATGAATGAATATAAACCGTACCGACCAGTTCTGGAACCGTGAAAGAAAGATGAGGCAGGGTGACATAAAAATATGAGAACCACAGTTCGCACATTATTAAAGTGAGATAATGCATATACCAAAAATATCTGTTTGTAGACTGATTGAATGAGGATAAACTCAATAACGTTTCGCATGACGTGGGATTGGCATCCAAAAAGCTCTACTGTCCAAATTGGCACGCTGTAGAATACGATCCGGCCTCCACTACTAACTAATTAATAAAGGTTTATGTGAGGAACGCAAAAGGCTAAATTTAAGCGAAATCCCCTGGCAAAATCGGGGATCTTATTTTCCCGTCTCCTGATCAACACTTAGAACAATCAGAAGGGTAATAGGAGCTGCTTCAGTTGGACAGAATAATGATACCTTCTCTAAGTATACACTGTGTTGCACATATACTTCCCAGTATTCGGTGAATAGAATTTCACGACAGGGGCACAAAATTCTGCCCACTTCATTTATAGCATCAGCCTCTCAGTCCTCCCTTGCCCCGATATTGAAAGGGACTTCACATTTGCATACTCTATAAGATCTTCAGGGAGAACCCGCTAATGACAGTTAGTGACACCACAACGAAGGAACAACAAGCCAGCGTCATGGAGTTACAGCATTCAGTGTGAATGTCTGAATCTGCAGGAATTCACCGCAGAAGGGCAACCAAAATCACGACCTCTATTTCTGCTACTAATCTTCCAGTTATTCTGTACCACTACAATAGTCATGCATGAACCCCCACATAGGTCTCACAATACCTTTAAGGGTAACTCAAGCGCAATGAATCATCAAATGGTGTTTAGGATGGTCTACTGGTCTAAAATTAACAAAAAGAATCCATTACATAGAAAATGGTGTTTTTAGTGACATCAATCACCACGACAACATAAAATTCCACGTTAATCCCCATCACAAAGACAGGAGAATGCTTGTTTATCAAAGAGCGGGTGAACGATCAGCTGTCATGACGATGTGTAAGGGTGTGACCTCGAGCACATAAGTGATCGCTCAACGTTTGGTGTGATTAACGCACGAAAAGGCCAAGGCAAAAAAACGAGACAGGCGGGATGGTGGGATTTTTCTGCTATCAGTAATGATGGCTCATGGCAGCCGCCAGTGCACCTCAGTCATTGATAACTAGGCTGGCTCTCATAAGGTTGTTGGGATAAAATGTCACAGACGTCGGAAGCATCACAGCCCAAGTATCCCTTTTGGAATCTAAAAAGTCAGGCAATTCACTTTTTTTGCAGCAACTGTTTTGTACATCCGAGGTGTATTACGGCCAAACAATAAAAGTAAGAGGTGAATGGTTGCTTGGTGTGAATGAAGGAGGCTGTGGACTTGAAGGAAATGGACGGTAAAAAGGTTGATTAAAATTACAACTTCGAAGTGAGAAGTTCGCCTTCATAAAAACCATGAACAAAAATATGGAATAAATGCAACTTTTTTTGAGCAATGGACCAAATCCTCTAGGTAAAAAGGCGAAGCAGAGTTACCAGATCTCAAAGGGATTGTGCTTCAATGATCTTCGAATGGATAAATGCGTAAGTTATGGGTTTACTTCAAGGAAGATGTAAATGAGTTATGAGTTATCTACTTGACTACCCGCTCCTTTCAGTCTCCCTTGATTCGGCTACCACCATGGTGCTATGCAGTCCATGCTTTTTATCTTGTAGCACCTCCAGAGGCAACTCAGGTACGAAACAAGCAGAGAGCTGGGTGATAAATGCAGGAGAAAAGACACAGAAAGCAAGGAAAGACGAAATTCATGTGTGCCAGTAACGTGAGGCCAAAAATGAGGCAAAATCGGCAGAACTGCTGTCAGAAATAAGGTGACAACAGATGCGGTAAGTATTAACAAAGGAATAGGATGGGGTAAGGGGGGCAGGACTGCGCAGGTGACCCGGAAGGGGGACGGAGAAACAAGGCAACGTGCGGTGTGGGTGTCCTGCCAAAGGGGACACACAATGGGCCCCGCACCTCGTCTAGCCTCAGCCCACCCCCACCCCCCCCTTTCACTGGCAAATCGTGCTCTGACATCGCTGTGACAACAGCAGC